CCCCTTTCATCATCTAGCAAGGCTTTGAGCACGATCATATACAACGAATCGTCATAAACAGAGCTAAAGGAAAACGTTTGTTATTATTTCGTAAATAATTTCTGTTTCATGTAGTTTTTTACGCTCCTCCTGTCGACACCGTTTAGATTATATAGGAGGCCTGCTTGATCCTACTGTGCCTGTCAGGGCCAACTCGGGCTGAGAGGGATACAAAATCTCAGCAGAAAGGCCGAGATACTCGAATAAAAATTTCTCACCAATGGGGATCGACCTTTGTTTCCTGCGACCGACAGCAAAGCGCCTAACCACTATACCAGAGCCGCCGGGTTTAAAAAAAAAGAATAAACAATCACTTATCACCATGGTGTGGTCATGGTGTAGCTGCTGTGCTCCTTACTCTACCAATCTGTCCCTGCGGGAAATTGCATTTTTGAAATAGAAAAATTGCAAAAAATTGCAAGGTAAACCGCCTAAAAATTGCAAAAAATTGCAACCTTCCCATCCAAGGCGCATTAGTACGGGCTTAACATTTTTAGCTTAAATATGACAATTTTGGGTACCGGTAGCATAAAAGCAGCACAGCCTTTTAAAAAATCAAACAATACAAATTCATCAAATGTTATTAACAACATTTACTAGTAACAACACACGAGTACGTCAACAATAAAGTTATCGACCAATTAATATAATAATAATATGATAACGCGTGACAATAAACAACGGAACCCTCGGTTTTCGTAATATTTTTTAAATGAAGGCATAAAATTTGACCAAATTTAGTACATGGCGGGTACTTGGTTCATGCAAAAATCTAGAAGTATGTGAGGTTTAGTCTATAAAAAACAAAAAAATTGACGAGGGATTTTGGAAACAACCTCTAAATACAAAATAAACTTATTCTCCAATCAAACCAGATCCTGTTCTATTTTTCTCTTGAAACCTTCGATACACCGGTAATCTGTATTTAGATCTATTTCAGATATTTTCTGTTTTAAAACCGGCATGGCATTGTTATAACACTAAGTCAAATCGTAAAATACAGCAAATTTTTTTCTCCATTTATAAACAATAGTAATACATGTACTAATGTAGATTTATATCATTTCTATAGCACCCACTCCCGTGTGAACGCAGCTTAATAAGGCGTTTTACATAACGGGGTGTTTACGTACACGGTACACGGACATCTAGCCTCAGTGTCTACGTACACGGTAACCGGCAACCGGGCACGTAGTCTCAGTGTCACGTACACGGTAGCCGGGCAGTTAAGAATTCCAAGTTCATTTTTTGTCATCCGGTGTTGCCCTCAACTCCAGCCCTCCCCGACTGTACATTTTTTAAAAAGAAAATAAATAATTCTCCCATTCCAGAGCCATATACTTCATAGCGCACAGACTTACTTTGAATTAACTTTGCTGACCCCAACCGGTACTCACAATGTGATGCAAAAGCACAGGTTCGTTGACCGGTAACTATGGCGAGCCCGACAAGACGCGTGTATAACTTTCTTTTTTTAAATTTCAACAAATGACAGCACAGGACAAATATTGCTTAATTTTCATTCCCGTGGGTTACCGTGTACGTAGATACTGAGACTAGGTGCCCGGTTACCGTGTATGTAGACACATGCATCATGTACGAACAATATTCACGCGCGCGCGCACACACGCACACACACTTACGTACACCTCACAGACGCACACACCTATACTTTCTTATCACATGCGCACGTTTACACATTAGATAAAGGCCTAGCCCAGAGAAGGCCACATTCTCGGCCTAGCCTAAGTCTCAGTATGTGTTGTACATGATGCATTCCGGCCTGAATTTCCGGTTATAGCTTTTAGAGTAGGCCTACGCTCAGTAGGCTTGAGCTGGGTCGATACCATGATTTACGTAGGCCTATCGGCTCTGTACTCGCACCATTTCATATTAAAAATTCTGTTAAAATTAAAGCGTTGATGTATTTTTGCCTAAAATTGCAAGAAATTGCGAAAATAGCAAAAAATTGCGGGTTTATTGCGGAGCTCGACGAAAAACGCGGCCGCACTTGCGGCCGCAAGACCGCGATTTCCTGGAGGGCCAGCACAATACATAAAAACAACTTCTGGGTCGCTGTATCGAACAGCCCATCAAAATCTATTAATCTTTTCACAATCCTATCTTCGAGTGTGGCGAATAATATGAAAGTCTTAGGCCGAGGGTCTCGTCGTAAACAGGCCGGCCTCATACACAAAAGGCAACAGATAAAAACATGGTTACTGTACCTAGTGTACCTCTCACCGCGGATGGGGAGATATCCGGAGGACGTGTTGTGCTGGTTATGAGCTTATCACCGGCTGTGGGCATCCCGACCACAGACCGCTGAGGGCTGAGTCAGGATTTATGATCCTCTTAGTCTTAGACTGACTGAGGTTAACGTATCGGGGTTGTGGAAAGTCAGGGGTCCATCCGACCCATTTAGGGGACATGTAGTAGGGATTAGTACAGATCTGATAGATACAGGCATTATCCGCCGCCCCCTTTCTTACTTAAGTTAAAACAGAAATACATTGTTTTCAAAAGAACCGCATAACAACCAAAAGAGCACTGAGAATAAAAAATACAACACATAAAGCGAAATCTGCGTCAGCTGCAAACAGCAGTAGTATATCAACTGGAGAAGCAGCAGCAGCAGCAGCAGCAGCAGCAACAACAAAACATGCTCAAAGCCCTGTCCTTTCTTAAAACTTTCTATAGTAAGATAAATGTTTCTATGAAACCAATTTATTTAGGTCATAACTCACATTAAGCCTAACTTTAGAGAAAAAAATCTCTCCAAAGTTCACAGTAAAATAGGCTGAGATAACAAAACTAAAAAGGGGGCGGGACATTTTTCCATAAACTGTTAAAGAAATGGGTAATCAGATATTTTAGAGCTATGAATATGAATCAGCAGGCAGATGTTTTGCTACTTTTTGGTTCACATCAAAACTTGAATAAAGTTCCTCTGCAGTTTAGCCATACTACAGACTCCCGAGTCAACTTACTGACAAAGATCTCTTCTTTGTAGAAAACCCAGTATTCATTTCTTGAAGCTCTCTCTCTCTCTCTCTCTCTCTCTCTCTCTCTCTCTCTCTCTCTCTCTCTCTCTCTCTCTCTCTCTCTCTCTCTCTCTCTCTCTCTCTCTTCCCCTCTCCCCTTTTCTCTTATCTATTTATTTATTTATTTATTTATTTATTCATTTCTTTATATTTTGTTTCTTATAGGGGGGGGGGGGGGAATTTACGCAGCTCCTGTAAAATGTTCCATTGAATGATTTTCTCTTATCATAGACCCCCTGTTAGTTTATTGGTTCAACGATAAATTGATTAATTCTTATCTCTGTGCATTGATGGTCTTCTTTCCGCTACGGTTATTATGTTGTTGTTTTTTTGTTTTTGTTTTAAATAAAATGAAAAGGGGTGTCGTTTGTATTGTTTAGCTATTTTATTTTGCATCAAGAGCAAATGTTTTTTTAGTTTCGGCTTTGAAAAAAAATCCTTGTTTACAGTTGGTTCATATGTTTGTTCGTTTTTTGTTCGTTCGTTCGTTTGTTTGTCTGTTTGTTTGTCTGTTTGTTTGTTTCTTAGTTTGTGTGTGTGTTTATTTATTTATTGTTTGTTTGTTTGTTTTCTGTCAAATTGTTTCATTTAGAAATGAACAACTTCCTCCTAAACAATCTAAATTGGGTCAGTGGGAGCTCATATTAGTTGAACGACTCACTGATAGAGATCCGGCTTGATGGAGCCCACACTGCTGTTCCTCTGGTGAGTGCTGAAGTTGAAGACACGCCCACTGCGGTCACGGGGGCACCAGGGCTGAACACGCTCTGGCGGGAGGGTGAAGTCTGGGATGCGGTCAGTGGTCATGGAGCGGACGATCAGGCCCCGGGCAGTCTGGCGCGAACACTGGACACTGAAGGCATCGGGGCAGGACCGTCGTTTGCTCAGTGTCGGTGACGGTGTTCTGGGGAAGGGCGGGGGAGTGAGGTTCGAATCTCAGTGTTAGTTCTTTCTCAAAGCATTTATTAGGTGATGCATAGTAGGTTTTAGGTTGGAATTTTTTTAAAAAATTTTTGGTAAGTGTTTTACAGCGCTCGCAACTGCATAAAGTCATATGAGCGAGCGGGACACATTTAACATTTTCAATTGTTAGGAAATTTTGAATTTTTCCCGTGTGGCAGCCGAAGCCTACTCTTATCGATTTTAGACCACCAAGGGATCTTTAACTTGCGCAACTTGCTCACGGGACCTCCGAGATTTTTCGCCCTTGTCCAAGAAGGCTAGGTGTAGATCTTTCTTACCAGAAGATCAGGGGTGTGGCTGAAAGACAGCTGTAAGAAGGAGCCAAAGAGTAGCAGTAGAAAGACTGCAGAAAGAGTCCGGAGCCCAGAGGAGGAGGCAAAGGAGTTGAGGGGTGGGGCAGAAAGTGGAGACGAAAGCAGACGACAGAATATTGCTAGAGAGCAGGAAAGGAGGTGAAAGAAGACAATTTTAGAGAAGAAAATTTTTCGGTAGGTACCCGGATTCGAACCGGGACCTTTGAATGAGAGGCGGACTTCTTAGCCTCTAGGCCACGAGGGCCCCCGGTTTTGGGTTGGAGTGGAGATCTGTAAGATAGGACGGGAGAGGAAGGGGTTCGAATTTCAGTGTTATATCTTTTTCAGGGCATTTATAAATGTATTAGGTGATGCATTAAATGCATTTTTATTAGGTTTGGGGTTGGAGGGGAGAGCTGTAAGATAAGGCGGAGGAGGACGGTTCGAATCTAAGTGTTACATTTCTTTCAATGCATTTGTTAGACCATGCGTTATTTATTAGGTTTTGGGATTGAGGGTAGAGCTGTAAAATTTAACTTGTTCCCCTCTGATGGAGGATTTTGATGAACTGCAATTTGTGTGGTGCAAGACAAAAGTACTGTTCAAATTGTCCACGACGGTCACCCTCTATCAAGGAGGAAAATAGCCTTCTTAGACAGATTTCCCTATTACAGGGTGTTGTTATAAGGTAAAAGATACACAAGAGAGGAAATGGGAAGGGGTCGTTTATAAGAGAGGAAATGGGAAGGGGTCGTTTATACAGGTGATTGTCTTATACAGGTGGCCATCAGAGTAGCTTTGAATATATTAAGTTTTGGGTTTGAGAGGAGAGAGATAAGATTTAACTTGCTCCTCTCTTGCAGAGGATTTTCACAGACTACAATTTGTGTGGAGCTAGAAAAGAATACTGCCCAAATTGTTAAAGATGGCCACCCATTGTATAGAGAAAATTGGTTGTGTTTGACAGGTGGACGTATTTGACAGTCCTGTCATTATATCCTAGAAAAAATACATGGGCGGAGAGAGAAGTGGTGCCTATAGCCCCCTACCGCCCCCCCCCCCTTCCGTACCACACACACTCCTCGAAAAAAAATGTTTAAAATGTGAGTATTTTAGCCTTGTATAGTAAGATACTATCGCTGTATGTGGTATGTTGTTT